TCAATAATAAATCACGAACTATRTATGTATATAWATTATAAAWTTTTSGTATCCTTACAATTCAAGCCAACACTGCCGGAAACGTTGCCATTAAGCTGTGACGCGTTGACATGTCCATTTTGATATTGTTGTGGTATGGAGTAAGTGCCATCCGGTACTGGTGCAGCTGTAGACACAGCAGTCTGATTTAGCGAGTTTTGCGTGTTGACTGGCGCCACATGGCCGGGCAACTGTGCTGGACTGCCGTAGGGCAGCGACTGCATGCCATAGTTATGTGTAGGCATATGTGCTGTTTGCTGCATGTGTGGTGAAAAATTAGCATTGCCCGGATAGCCAGCGGCACCGTACAACATTTGTGAATTCGGCACGCCCTGATAGCCTAAGCCGGGCATGGCGCCACCCATTGGCGGCATGCCACCCAAATAACCAGCAGCAGCAGCAGCCTGTGGGCCACGTGCCAGTGTCATGCGATCGTCGCGCATTAGTGAATGATAGAGATTGATGGCGTCCACCAAGTCGCTGGAGAGCTGCGTGAGTTGCGCATGCTTACGATCGACACGCTCAAGTTCRGTGTCGATCAGTGGACCCATCTGGTGTACTTCCTGTTCTAAACGCAACATTTCTTCGCTATCCTGCGAAGGATCCTCGGGATTCGCCTCGTGCAACAGATGCAAGAGCCGATCGATTTTCTCTTCATCGATTTCGATTCGTTGTTCAGCAACTGCCGCTGCGGCAGCTTCAGTCTTTAATTGCAATGCTTTGGCATCATCCTCAAAYTGTACGCTCTTTTTCGTCTTATTTTGTTGATTGATATCCAAACGCTCCGGATCGACAGACAAATCGGCAGTTACGAAATTCGATGGGAATAGACCTTCGCCACGCTGATTATAGCCCTTCCACCAGTTCGGATCCGTATCATCCAGCACGTGTATAATTTCGCCGGAAAAGAATGTCAACTCATTCTCTTCGGCTGCCTCGAAATCGTACAGAGCGCGTACTTTACGTGGCTCGGGTTGCGAATTAGTGGAGTTGTTTGAGGCGCCACCGGTTGAAGTAATGCTCGCCAATGAACCAGAACCAGAAAATGAGGGATACAACGAAGACTATGAAATTAGAAAAWGTTACATTTATTTWGTTTACAAATATAWATATATTTCAACGTTTTTGTACATACATAAGCCGAAGCAGCGTTCGTGGTCGCGCTGGCAGCGGCTCCAGCGTTACTGCTACTTTGTAGTTTGGGACTATTCTTTGTCTCCTTCAAAGATAGTTCTATCGCTTTGGCAATATCATCTTCCTCTTGTTGGCTGCTCACCACATTGGGATCCTTCAAAGCGGTCAATTTTGCTGCAGACTTTGGCGGCTTTTCGTTTAGATTGCTGAAGTCGTAGCCTTCTTGGCGTAATTTCATATAAAGCGATGGTATTAAATTCAGTTCCGCATCACTCTTAAAATCGCCTTCAGCCCAGGTTTTAAGCACTTGACGCATTTTCTATGATAGGAAATTAAAATTATAKAATTGATTGCAAATATTTTCAATAATTTTATATCGCTTATGCTTAACTCACCAGCGATATTTTCGGTTGCGCTTTCGTTAACAGTCGCCTGAATTCATTTTCGAATTCACGTGAAGCGATTTCCAAATGAAATGGTTTACCGCAATTATTTATACAAGCATCTAACAGTGTWAGCGCCTGCATCACCACATGTGGGTCAGCATGACCCATACGCTTCATTATTGCCTTCAGGCAATCTTTGGCGCCGCGTGGGTTGGACGAGACTTTGTCGCATACATCCAGAATGAGCGACCAGTTCTCGTTAGTATTAGTTTCGCTTGTAGCTTTTTCTGAAACAAATAAGAAAACAAAAAGATAAATAAATGTGAAATCGGTTTTGCAGTGGACGGTCTGTTGGCTAAAAAAATCGTTCAACTCGTTTCGCTTGGCAGATAAGTGTCCCATAAAAGACAGTTCAAATAATGCGAGTTAAACTGAAGATAAGAGCAGCTAACTGCAAGTGTAATCTCGAAGACACATATGTACATACAAATTTAGTGTAAAAATATACCATTTTTTATTTTATTACATACTACATACTATATTTTTATTTCCATGCTTTGTGTACTTGTGCAAAGTATGTATTTATGTATATTTTTATACGAATGTACACAAATAAAAATAAATACTGGGTAATATAATTGGAACAACTAAAGCCACACAATTTAAAATACATTTATATGCAAATACGTAATTTGCAAAAGGTCTATGCTTAGCGCCATATGAGTCACAGTTTGCATTCTAATCAAATTTTGTAAAACGAAAAAGATAACTAAAATTAGACGCTTTCAAGTGATTCAAAAAAATGGATGAACTTACGACAATATGGGTTGCTAAGATCTTCATGCGCATTTTGCATTAACTTTTTCTTCGCAGTTTGTACCGTTGCGTTAACAACAATCCATGGCACATATCGTGGCAGAAATGCCTTTTCGATAAATTAAATTTTAAAAAATTTTGCTTGTGTAATATTTATAGAATGATATAAGTCAGTCAAAGACTTATAAACTCATTAAATCTCATCATAAACAATCAACAAACTTTAAAAACCAGCTTACAAGCAAATCATACGTATTGAGAGTATTGAACTCTGGTGGTAGTTCACTGTCGCTTCACTATAAAGGCATTTAGTTCACCGTTTCTTTATTGTCTAACTCCAACTCCTAATATACATATGTTCTAAACACAAAGAAATCGCACCCTTGTGATCTGACTAAATATTTGCTGCAGTCAACGTCCTTTCGCAGATGATTTTTGCTTTGTGATAACAGCTTTGTCAATTACGTGTTTTTAAATTACAGACCCATCATTTATACTTGTAAAAAGTAAAACTCACCAATATCCGCATCAAACGGTGTCGATTGCGTAAAAATTCCCATTTCACACAGATGCAAAGCTAAAGACCTCAATTGAAGAACTAATTAACAATTTTTGCACTGCGTATTAACGATCTAAGCACTTGTTTAAATGTTCCAAGCCTTTTGCAATCGATTTTCACTATCCTTTTGTTGTTTTTCCCCCTTCTTATTTTTATTTCGTGTTTCGGCCTTCTGCTGCACTCAAGCAATCAATATGTTTTTTTCTATTACGTTGTCAAGAATTCTGCTTTCAATTGACCTTWACTTTTTTTTTGCACTCCCAATTAATTTAATAATGTATTATTTAATTTTTTTTCGGTCAGCGAATACGTTTTCCTTACTAAACCGAAGAAATTTTTAATAAAAAATGACTAACGAAATTCGGTATCGCTGGGAATGTCATTCGTTTCTTGCTCTGCTTCCAGTGGATTGCACTTTTCTGTCAAATGACAGTAGTTGCCAGAGGCTTTTAGTGTAATTGTCTTATCGGTTAGCAAAAATTAATTWGGTACGAATGAAAACAGCGGCTTCGAAGAAACTCTTAATTTTTTTACCAGCAAAATGAAAGTTACGTCAAATAGATCTCAAATGGCATACGATACGTATACCAAATATTACCGTAGTATGTTCCACTTTTATTATTTTATTCTYTGGTATTTATTGCTCTAAAAAGAACAATTTCTTCACTGCCACCGCGTTCGCGTTACCAACTATAATTATTTGTTAAATGTCAGATGAAAACAAATTGCAAAATCAAATTTTATACAAGATATAGTCGTGATGTTCAACAAATATTCGACGTAAATTTTTTTAAAAACAAGTATTACTAGGAAAGTACAAAGTTAGAATGTAGAAAAACCAATGGTCCTTTAGTATGCAGTGACTTCAGAGTTGGTTGTAGCAAGCTATTTTTCTGGCAAAGACGTACTTAAATCGCAAACACCGTAATATTTGCGTTTGCTTGACTAGTTAGAAAACTACAAGATTAAATTGAATTAAGAGAAGCAGCTGAGTAATCATTAGGTGGTGATAAAGGCACTACAATGACTTTTATACGTGATCCTTGTGGCATTGTGTGCCTAATCATCACCTATGGCGCAGTCATTTATGCAGATTATGTGGTTCTGCGTTGGATTATACTGCAAACGATGGAGGCCAGGTATGTCCCTCAATAACAATAAGCAATCAWTCAAATATAACTTCAATTTATATTGTACAGTATTTGGGCACCGGTACACGTAATACTATTTAATACAATCGTTTTCCTGTTGTGTATGTCTCACCTGAAAGCGGTGCTGTCAGACCCTGGGCGCGTACCATTGCCGGCAAATCGCTTAGATTTTTCAGATCTTCATACAACTGGAAAAAACAATAATGGCGGTGGCAGTGAATGGTAGCTATAAGCATATAATATACACAACTTATTAATTGCTACACATATGAATATAATCACYTATATATTGTAGGACCGTTTGCACACGCTGCGAAACATATCGGCCGCCACGAGCCCATCATTGTCGCATATGCAAACGTTGTATACGACGCATGGATCATCATTGTCCATGGATTAATAACTGTGTTGGCGAACGAAATCAAAAATTTTTTCTACAGTTTTTGTTCTATGTTGGCTTGCTATCTGTATATTCCGTTGCATTGGTGGGTTACAGTTTTGTATACCCTTGCGACAACTGCAATATAACTACACTGGAGACACAAACAAGATTGTACGTATTTTGTTTTTGCTAGTATGAAACTGGTTACACATATTACTATACATACTTACAGGTTACACAGTGTAATTCTTTTATTGGAATCTGCGCTTTTTGGTCTCTTTGTCTTGGCTATAATGGTCGACCAAATGCATGCTATATTGCATGATGAAACAGCCGTCGAAGCTGTGCAGTCAAAGGGTAAAGGCAATCAGCGTTCCAGTCGGCTTCAATTTCGTTTGTTTGCCGAAGTTTTTGGACGCGGTCATCCTGCTTGTTGGCTTTTGCCATGTACAAGTTTCAATTCGTCACCGCGTTACAATGACACGCCGCTATTAATGAGTTATGATGTTTAAGCAAAGCGTACTAAGGGAATTTTATGACTGCACTGCACAAGGTATATAAACAAGTGCAAAATTTTAAAATTTGAATTTACGTCAATTTTTAGTTAGAGTATCTAGGTGCTTTTGTTGTCTAATTTTTAGTTATTGTTATATGTTTTATATAATTAAATAACTGTTTTATTTATAATTTAAATTATAATGTTTCGACTTCCGTGCGAAAAGCCGATTTTAAGCATAATATACTATTGTATGGCGTATTAAATAGACATCTCACATAGTAATATTTATTGTATTTGAATTTAAGATATGTATTGTAATTTAAACCTATGATTTACTCGTTTAGGTGATAAGCGCGTCGATTGTAAATTTACAAAAAACAATCGCAAAAAAGCTAAGCGTAAATGAATATTGTAGTTATTAGCATAAACAGCAAAATGGTCTGCATGGAAAATCAAAACCAACACTTCTAACAATTGATTGATATACTTAGGTAAAGTGATTAGCATTTATTGGAAGAACTTTTTGTATGTATTTGAAAGCAGACAGTTGCATTTAAGAATTAAGGATCGTAAATATTGAAAAAAAAAATATTTTAGAGAAACATCTATCACAATATCTTCTAAAAAGTCGTAAAGTAGATCAATGGAAACCCGAAAATAAATAGTATTTATTGAAAATATGCAAAGGCAACAGTGTTTGTAAAATATATTTATTTCAATGCACTTAAACTACTATCTGATGACTTAATTTTAAGGTTTCTTAAAAATTTTACAGTAATATCTAATGACTAGAGTATATATATTGTTTGAAAATGTTTATTTCTCAGGTCTTCAATATTCTCATGTACCAAATTTTTACATGTAAAGGCTAAATCAGAAAGAGTTATCAGATTGATACTGATCCACAGAATTTGATGAGAAAAACGCCGATTATATTCGAACGAATAAAATTTATAAATATCTTTACATTTCTATGTACATACTACTGTGATCACATTGAAAGGTGAATTTCGTTATATTTTTAAAATATTTATTCTTGCAAATTCATTTCATCTTCTTCAAAGTAATCCCCTCCCGCTGCAATACACTTTTGCCAACGAATTTTCCACTCATCATAGCAACAGGCAAAAGCCTCCGTCCTGATGGCCATCAGAGCCTTCGCTGTTTCAGCTTTTATATTCTCAATTGATTCAAAACGGTGTCTTCGGAGTTTTCTTTGGAGTTTGTTGAACAGCCAGAAGTCACACGGAGCCAAATCAGGTGAATACGGTGGCTGCGGAACGATATTTGTTGAATTTTTGACGAAATGATCACGAATAACCAATGCAGTATGATATGTTGCATTATCGTGATGCAAAAACCAAGAGTTTTCGGTCCACAATTCTGGTCTCTTGAGGAAAATAGCTTCACGTAAACGGCGCATAACGCTCAAATAATATTCCTTGTTGACAGTTTGGCCCGGCGAAAGGAATTCATAATGCACCACACCATGATAATCAAAGTAAACTGTCAACATGACCTTTATTTTTGACCGACTTTGACGTGGTTTTTTTGATTCTGGCTCGTCTTCAGCACGATTTTCGCTCAATTGATCGGCTGTTTCGGGATCGTAAGCGTAGATCCAAGTCTCATCYCCAGTTATGATGCGTTTCATTACGTTTTGATATTCAGAAAGCATTGTTTCACAGATGTTAACACGACGGTCTTTTTCGAAAAAATTTAGGGTTTTTGGAACCAATCGTGATTTCACGTTTCTTAGGCCTAATTCGTCTTTCAAAATCGCACGCGCCGATCCAAATGATATGCCTAAACTATCAGCAATATCTCTAATAGTTAATCGACGATTTTCAAGCACCATTTCTTTGACTTGTTTGACGTGATGCTCATCAGTGGATGTTTTTGGCCGATTTGACACCACATGTTTCTCAACACTCTCACGACCGGCTTTGAACTCGTTATACCACTTGTAAACACTTTTAGAAGACAGAGTTTGATCCCCAAAGGCATTCTGCAACATCCTCAACGTTTCGGAAGGCGAAATTTCATTCCGCAAACAAAATTTAATCGCACTTCTTTGTTCAATAAAYTCGGTCATAGTAAAAATCGAAGGATTCACTTTCAGAGCCTCAAAAACGATGCGTATCTCAAATACTAATACATTTTTTGACGTGATATGTTTGCCACTAACAGTACTACCAACTTACAGAAAACCGAAACTTTACCAATTTGAAAACCACGCGAAGTATAAATTAAAAATTCACCTTTCAATTTGATCACACTTCACTTGATTAATTATTTGAAAACACGCGTATTATGTACTCTACATTATWTTATTTAATTCTAACTCCTTTGTAAAACCAAATTATGAAAACGGAATAAACAATAAAATACTATTTATTTAAGAAGACCATTATTTATTTATTAGAAGATGCGTTAGCTATTTATTTATTATATTAAAAACCTTTGTTTATTAATTGTTTTTCTTTTTTTTTTGTTTTGTTACTCTCGCAACTAGATGAGATTGGTTAAATAAATAAGATATCATAGCAGCTATAAATTGGACTTTTCTACACCCACAAGAAGTTGGCAACTCTTCGGTTTTCGATTTGATGTATTTATGTTCGTTACTCACACAATACGAAGAAAACAATAAAGAAGGCTGTCAAATCAGCATGCGCGCAATAAGAAGAGTTGAATTGATAAATTGTGTCTGTTGTTTAATTTTGTGTTAATTATAAAATTACTTTGCGGTGAGTGAAATACAGTTTTAATCACACTTTTATTGTCAGACACATCATCATCGTTAGCAAARCAATGCCGTTCCGGCAGTCGCATACTTGTGAACTTAACAGACCAGATTTATATCCAGGCAAGAWCTCTCAGCGCGTCTACATTTGCCAAAATTGGAAATTTTATGTTGCTACAACAAAAAACAATAACTGACATTATGTTTACATAATACAGGACAGAACTGTAGGTTCTATTTAATTGGAAGCATCACAAATTTCCATACGCACAGAATTTGTAAGCGTAACATGTTGCCACTACAGCAATAACAATAATTTATATTGAGCCTATCCACATCCATAAACAAGCTGAAAGTTGAAGACAACTTTCAGTTTCCAGTTACAAACACATATATTGCAAAAAAATTGGGGTACATATCTGTTAGTTTAAAATTGATCAGTATTAAACAAATTTCCAATATCAGATCACTCCGTTTACCGTTTGTGACAGTACAAACAAAGCCGCATGTGTGGWGATGGACTTTCAGTGCAAGGTTTCGGCTGCACAATGCCTCGCGGGTCACGTTCAGGTTTTAGCAAATGTTTCTGCAACGACCAAATTATGTCACTGGCCAATGCGCTAATACACAGCTTAATGCTTGATTCGTAATTCAATTTGTTGGTGGCATAGCTAAGTATAGCTTTAGACATCTCACAAGTTAGGAAATTACGATTCAAATCTGTAAATAAAAAATGAATAAATAACGTTATATAAATTAAATAACGAGTACTTTAATAACTTACTAAGCAGCTCTGGCCGTACGTCCATTATTTTCTTCGAGAAATGATAATCAATTGCTGAAAACACACGTTTACCAACACCCACGATCAGCTCACGCTTGAATTTGATAATATAGTGTTCAATGAATATCAACTCGTTGCGGCACAAATTTGGTATGTTGCTAAACATATTCTCTTCCGATTGTACTTTGATAGAAGCAAGTGAACCCTGAAAAAATGGGTAGATTACAAATCAAATGTATTTTTTTTATTATAATTTGATGCTACTTTACCACTGGCGTTGGTGTACGGACATCCACCGGTTTTATATCCACCATTGGATGTATCGCATAACTGGATTCACCAATTGTTAATGGCAAACGGCTGAATGATACTAAGGTTGGACGTCGGCTGCCTGTAGCATTCTCATCTTCTACTTGTTCACGTATAGAAGCAATGATTTGTGATGATCTCTTTAAATTTAAAATTCAAATCATTAATATTAAACAAGAAAAAACTGTGTGCAAAATTTCCGATCGTTATCTAAAAAACTGAAAGACTAGTTTGCGTATATACAGACAGACGGACATGTCTAAATTAACTCAGCTCATTGGCTGGTCATTTATGGTAAATATATTGTAGAGGCTCTCCGCCTTTTCCTTTTAAATGTTACAAACTTCATGCCAAAAACAAAAAATACTTACAAACAGCACAAAACGTTTTGCCTCATCAAAGAATTGATCCACACGTTCGCGCACATTCTTGCAAATTTTCGGGTCCTTACTCAAATCCTTGTCGAACTTCTTAATAATGTGCGTTATGATGAACTTTGCCGCTTTGTATATCGGATCGTCAGCATCGAACGGCATAGCCGGTTGATCTTCCATATCAATAGCGGCATTCAAAGCTTCGCAAAGCTTGAAATCTAACAATTTATCGACACTCTCATTTGGCGTATCACAGTAGGCCATACCGTTTTCMAGGTTTGGCTTCGGCTGTGTAATTGGTTTCGGTTTCTTTTTACGATGCTGATGTAATTTGCTTTGTTTTTTAATTTTACGTGCACGCTCTTTTATTTCATTCTGAATATGAAGCCATTTCTCATCATACTTTTGACGATGATTCTGAACAACCAATCATAAATAAATATAGTTTTTTTTTTGTTTAATACTGATACGTACCTCGATAAATTGTTGCCGTTGTGCGGCGACTTTCTCCAGTAGCACCTTTATTTTATCCTGGTAAGCTATGCGCTCCTTCAAACGTTTCTCCCAAAAATGCGTTTGTATTATCTCGCTCTGACGCAGCCGTTCCTCCTGCAGATGCCGTTGGTTCTTTTGTAAACGATCCTGTTTAAACTGAAAGACCTTCTTCAGCTTAATCAAATGCTTTCGCTGCAAATCGGCGGCGGCTTCCAAGTGCCGTTGCATTTTCATGTGATTTAACAGTTTTCGATACTCATGATARGCCTTGCCCATTTCATCGGCGGCCGCCTTGCGTGCTATCTTATCTTGCGTGCGTTGCCACATTTTCTGATAGCGCGTGGCTCGTATGTTCTCCAGCTTGCGCTTGCGTCCYTGTATTTCGGTGAAACTGTTTTGGCGTGCGGCCAAATTGTGATGATCACGCGCTGTTATTGCTTCGGCATTGTTGATGAGCATACGATCGTGTTGCTCATTTTCCTGAAATCGTTAAAATTGTTTTTACTGTAATTTTATTTTTATAATTGGCGTTCGGAAGAGCCCACCTGTCGATTTAATTCCTGCAATACGTAGTAAAGTCTCGTTTTGTGCAGCTGTTGACGGTATTCGTTGAAATCTTTTAAATTACAAATCACATCGTTATTTTGCGTTATTTCGCCGTTTTCGCGTAATCGCTGTTGGAAACCAAAAACGAATATTCAATTATAACAAAAAACAACGCTAACTTCGGCTGCAAGAGAGCTAGGAAACCCTTCACAGGCGGTATTTCTGCATTTCATTTAATGCAAAAGGGTATAAAAGATCTTTATCTTGACTTTCATCGGATAGTTTATATGGCAGATATATGCTATAGTGGTCCGATTTGAAAAATTTCTTTGGAKATTTTACCGTTGCTTTTGGCCAATAATGCACTCTAAATTTCATGAAGATATCTCCTCAAATAAAAAAGYTTTTCATGCCCGATCTTGATGCGATCGTTCTGTTTGTATGGCAGCTATATGTTATAGTAGTCCTATCGGAGCACTTTCTTCATAGATTGTTGCGATGGCTTAGAAAATAATATCTGCCGCATTTCTTGAARATATCTCGTCAAATTGAAAAGTTTTCCTTACAAGAGCTTTATTTGGATCGTTCAATTTGTATGGCAGTTATATGCTATAGTCATTCGATATCGATGGTTTCAATAACTGAGCAGCTTCTTTACTAGTAAACAACGTGTGCAAAATTTCAGATCGATACCTTTAAAACTAAAGTACTACTTTACATATATACAGACAGACGGTCGGAGGACAGACAGACAAACATAGGCACATGGCTAAAATGACTCGACCTATTCCACTCTCCGCATACCTTGAGATTGCGTTCGTTGGCGTAAAATGTTTTCAAATTCGAATCGTGTAGGGGATTGTACTCCGGTAGGCTTTCTCGCACAGAGGGATCAAATTCTTGTTTCAAATGTTTAAACTGCATTGGAAATTATCACGTTACATATTGCACTTAAAATAAACGTATTTCACTTTAGAATGTACCGATTGTCCAATTTTATTCTTCGAAAATATAACCTGATTCCCGGGACACTTCAGCATAGGCAATTTCGAATTTAATGGTATAAGCTCCCAGCCTGGTAAACTGTTGATTGGCAGCCCGGATTTGAATGTTAAATTTGGCACCTCGACCACATCCAACTTCGGCCGTCGTGATAAYGAAAGTATATCAATCATTCTCGCTTTTCTCGTGTCTAATAGTTCATTAGCCTACATAAACCAAACTGAGTTCTGTTTTAGCGTGGACTGAAAGTTTCTATTTAATTGGAATTATAATTTTTGAGCAATTTTTTTACGGCGCCCTTTCTTAGCAGAAGCAAAATTTCGACTGAGAAAAATTTTCTTGTCTTCTCAAAATAAGTGAAATATGTATTTTCAATTGAAAACGGTACATTTGTGAAAAATTATACAAGGTGGTATTGAAAAAATTGTGCTTTGATATAATAGTATAAATATATGTATGTAAATGTAGGTACATTTAAATTCTAATAATGATTCCTGTCCACGTAGATGGATCTAAGGGTCTTGAGCCTGCTTCTACAAATTTCAACTTATAATCAGGTGTTCTAGAGTTCTTGACAGTTTTCKCAAGATACTATGCTCATATTGGACATGTGTTTCCTGCCTGTGTAGAGTGCGACAGGGAGATGGCATTTRTCTCGGGGGATTATATCTCTTAACCTTGCTGGCTGTAACCTCCCAATAGCAGCGACTCCTTTATGGTGTGGGACCCCCACCGCAATGCATGATTCTGGCGCACCTCTATTCTGGAAGCCGCCGCAAAGTGGGCTAGTTCATCGGCCAGCTCATTTRGCGTKTTGACTTCATAAGCTGAGATCAATTTTAGACCCGCGTTGCGTTCAGCAACCAACACTTGTGAGCTTACGAAAACCWTCTGGCTCAGAKGGTAGCGTAAAAGGTCCATAAAACTGCCAGCTCTTAGCAAGGTTCACATGATGCAGTGATTGGTGCTCTAACTGGAGAGATTTTGAAGAACGCAACTTGTCARTGCCGCAGGAAAGAAGATGAGGCGGAAATATTTAGARACTTTCCCTTTCTACGTACTCGTTGAAACAGCTGGACCGGTTCAATACATTTTTGGCTAGCTCAATAAATTTCTGGCTACTTACCGATCCAAACTGGGTTAAATCGCCGAAAAAATAGCCAGATAAAATCCGGGTCAATTCCGTTGCGTAGAACCGGCTGTCGTGGGAATTCTGGCYGGCCGTAAGTGCTTTGTGCGATCTTTTTTTTCCGTACTTAGAAGTTCTAATTATTACAACTGGTTTGCAAAAAATCAGTCTTTTTAACTAACTTAACTTATTTGCTTCCGCAATACAATCAGCATGTTAACTCTGACAATAGATGCTAGAATGCATATTATGAAGGAGGAAGCTCTGGTGGTAGTTTTGGAGAAACAATTCGAATTCGATCGAGTCAATATTGTCAAACCACATAAGTCTCCTCATAAGAAGGACGATAAGCAAGGGCAATCAGT